ATAACTAAGGGAGGATTCAGGGTCACCTGGTCCAGCCCTAACTATATGCTTTAGCAAAAAGGAAAGTTTTAAGCCTAATCTTAAAAGTAGAGATTTTAAGATCTAGCAACCCTGTGCCTCACTCAGAATCACACAACTCAGTCATGACAAATGTGTAGCCGGGATTGGCAGAGGTACAATCTTTGTGAGAACACTTTTGACAGACAACACATAGAAGCCATACGTCTTTGGGTCAGCTATTGGTGTATGGCGAAACACAAATCATTTTGCAACAAGCAAACACATTTATATTACCTTCAGTTTTTAATAAGCATTTATTTATTTAACTCACTAACATTGTGTGAGCTTTCAATACAAAAACCCGCCACCACCAACATGAAAATTTACTCTGACTCACAAAACCTACAAAATACTTCCTCTATTTAAAGGCTTGTGTGTTTTCCACAAACTGACCATTGCAAAATGGGAAGCTTGTCAGGTTAAATGGTGAGCTGTTAACAGAATCTCACAGTGCTGTTTAATGTGCCAGACAATCCCGGTCTGCAAAAGCTTTGTTCTGTTTAATTTTCGTTTGAAAGAAATAAGTTCACAGTTTGCTTTTTCTCCATTGTTTTTGTTTCCTTTCTTCTTCCACATGGTGGCACTAACAGTCATCTATACAGAATTAATTAACGGTGCTGTAAAGTTCGAGCGGACTATACCATTATGCTTATTTTGTAAGGAGTGACAGTGGTATCGAGAGGCTTCTCTATTTTTTGGAAATTAAGGTTCATTCAGGCAGTTTAGTTATCACCTTAATTACTGCAGACAAAAACACATTTTCCTTCCAAGCTGCCAACCTCGCCCCTCCCATCCTTCCTCTTGCTCAGTAAGTAAAGATGGGAAAGTGAAAGCTAGAAAGTCCATAGCTTGGCCACAGCTTTGGTTTGACCCTTCAAATTTGGAAGTGGAACATCTTGACAAAAAGGTGAGTAGCCGCAAGCATTTTAATACATTTTTCATTTACGTTTTTAAAACATAAGCCATTTTCCCTTTAAAAACCCCCACACGTAGGAACATGACAAAGAAAATGACGCACGATTGTCTACAACTTGAGGAAGTTTGGGTTGCATTTGTATTTGTGGTCTCAGAAGAGCGAATCTAAAAGATATTTAGAGATATTTAGATCTCTGAAATCGGAACAGATTTCAAACAGTTTGTGAACATGAAGGACCCTGCACAGAACCGCGGTTGCACAGACGTTCATGTTAAAATGCAGACAAGACAAGAATATATAACTTATGAATAATCTATGCAAAAGTTATGAACATGGCGGAGTCTGCACAGATAAACACGAGAGCAACAGCCTGCCAGTGAAAGAGGAAGCGGTAGATGTAGTTTGCTCATCTTTGATAATCTCTGTCTCTTTTTCTTCTGAAAAGCTGACTTTATTTCATCAAGTCTCAACGTGATCAGAACAGACTTAAGATCACAAACAGCAACTTAAACACTTGTTGTATCATTACACGTAGTAAATATCTTTTGACGAGGATGGTTGTTATTTGTTTATTTTTATATTGCTTGGACACAAGGTAAGCAATGAGACATTATAGCTTATTAGAATAAACAGCCAAATATTTTTGCATGTCTTTCTACTCTGTTTTAAAAACGTATCATGGTACTGCTATAGTTAAAAAGTACTAAAAGTATGTTTTATTTCCCTTTGCCAACAGAATTATATCAGCAGTTCTGCTACAGAAATGAATGAACATGAAAAAGGTGTGTATTATTTATTATTTCACAGTCAAATTCACAATTTTTATTCTATGATTTTTAAATACATGCTTTCATTTTCTTCATTTACAAGCAGCAGAATTTGTTGATAGAAACAGGAAAACGTTAATCCATGAAGTTTCTGAAGTGCTGGCGATAGCAGAAGAGCTTGGAGACCTGGT